CCTCTCACTGTTGTGGCCTCTCCCATTGCGGAGTACAGGCTCCGGACACACAGGCTCAGCGGCCATGGCTCATGGGCCAAGCCGCTCCACGGCATGTGGGATCTTCCCGAACCGGGGCACGAACCTGTGTCCCTTGCATCGGCAGGCGGACTCTCAACCACTGCGCCACCAGGGAAGCCCTGTTCTATCTATATTGAGTTGAGAATTTTGACCGTTTCACTCACTTACCGGAAGCACTTCTCGACTTCTCTTTGGCACATCTGAATTGCCAGCTTTACTACTATTGCACTTTGGGGCCATTATGAAGTAAAATAAGGGTCAGTTGAACACAAGCACTGTGGAAACCTTGGCCGTCAATCTGTTAATTGTGTTGGCTACTAAGTGATTTAATGTGTGGGACACGCTGGACAAAAGAATGATTCACGACCCAGTCGTGATGGACCAGAACAGTGTGATATTTCATCATGCTAGTCAGAATGAAGTATAATTTAAAACTTATGAATTGTGTATTTCTGGAAGTTTCCATTTAATATTTTCAGACCATGATTAACTGCTGGTAACTGAAATGAGGAAAGTGAAACCAATAAGGGGAAACTGCTGCGTTACTTTGGTTTTGTTTGTTTGTTTAGAAGCATCTTTAATTAGAACACATGCATCTACTCAAATGTTTACTCATCAACAAATATTTATTGAAAACTTATTAGTGCCTACCAAACCAACAAGATATCAACTGTTTCTATCCTTGTGAAGCTCAGAGTTTAGGGAGCAAGAAAGATATTGTATTCATTCAGGAAGTACTTTCAGGTAGAAATGCTAAAAGTGTATTTAACATTTGTTGAGCACCTTATCTACAATCTATGTTGTAAACATTACAATACCAGAAGTTCTGCTTTTAAAAAAAATTGTGGTAAAATACACAGAATATAAAATTTACCATCCTAACCATTTTTAAGTTTATAGTTCAATAGTGTTAAATATATCCACATTATTGTGCAACCAAGCTCCGGAACTTTTTCATCTCGCAAAACTGAAACTCTGTACCCATTGAATAATAATTCCCCATTCCTCTTCTCCCCAGTCCCTGGTAACCACCATTCTACTTTCTGTTCTAATGAATTTGACTGTTCTAGGTACCTCATATAAGTGATTTCATAGAGTATTTGTCTTTTTGTGATTGGCTTATTTCATTTAGCATAATTTCCCCAAGAGTCACTCATGTTGGAGCATGTGTCAGAATATCCTTACTTTTTAAGGCTGAATAATGTTCCATTGTATGTATATGTTACATTTCATTTATCCCTTCATTCATCTGTGGACTCTTGGGTTGCTTCCACCTCTTTGGCAATTGTGACCGCTATGAACGTGGATGTGCAAATATCTCTTCAAGACCCTGCTTTCACTTCTTTTGGGTATATACGCAGAAGTGGAATTACTGGATCATATGGTAATACTATTTTTAATATTTTGAGGAAATGCTCTACTGTTTTCTGTAGTGGCTGCACCATTTTACATTCCCACCAACAGTGTACAAGGGTTCCAGTTTCTCCACATCCTGGCCAAAACTTGTTAGTTTTTGTTTTGTTTTATAACAGACATCCTAGGGACTTCCCTGGTGGTCCAGTGGTTAAGACTCTGTGCTTCCACTGCAGCGGGAACGGGTTCAATCCCTGTTTGGGGAACTAAGATCTGCATGCTGTGTGGAGCAGCCAAAAAAATCCCCTCAAAACTCCTCCTATTGGTATGAGGTGGTGTCTCACTGTGATTTGATTTTGCATTTCCCTAATGATAAGTGATTCTGAGTCAAGAGGTCCTGCTTTTGGGAATCTGTGTGTTTCTGCCTAGTTCTGAAACAGACTATTCTGTTAAGTTGCCCTCGAGGTATATTAGAACATTTGAAAAACATATTGAAATTCTTGAGTGTTAACTGAAAGAAAAATGCACGATGTGAAAGTTATGAGTTAAGTTTTATTTGGGGACCTTACTGAGTACTATAGCCCGGGAGTTCTCAGATAGCTCTGAGGAGCTGCTCCAGAGAGGTAAGGGAGGAGCCAGTATATATGTGAACTTTTTTGCTGGGGAAAACATGTGGTCAAGTGTAAAAAGATTACTGCTAATCACAAATGTAGACCAAAAAAATGTTATCTGTCATTCTAGTAAACAACAAATATTGCCCGCCATCAAGCTACTGCAGCTGCACCCAGAGGGGAATTCATGGTGGAGAAAAACAGCGTCCTGGCCCTAGATAGATCAGATGAATATCTAAGGAATAATTTCAATGACCCCAGACTCTTACATCTTCCCATACATAGGAAAATGCTAAAAATTATTAACTTGAGGTGACTGGTTTTTGTCATTAGCAGTAGTCTTTTGATGTTGGACTAAATGTTTGTTTTGTTTTTTTTTTTCACCAGAAACTCCTACATACCCTGGTTCCTCCCTTACCTCTTTGGAACAATGGCTCAGTGCTGTCTGAGACTATTTCCCGGGCTAGAGTCCTCAGTAAGATCTCTGAATAAAACATAACTTGGAACTTTTAGGTAGTGTTTTTCTTCAGTTGACAGTTCAGTGACCACGAAGGGATCCAGAGCCAACTTTTCTCCTTTGCCTGAACTTTACGAGGATCTGGAGCCTTGGTACTAGCAGAGGCCTCTTGTGCCCGTCTGTATCCTCAGTGAGTCCAGATGAATTTGGATGAGTGTCTCCTGGATCTTGGATCTCATGTTATTCGCTTATGATCCTAAGTTTTATTTGGTGGTATTTAACTTCTCACTGGAGGAGTAGGTTTTCCTTGAACTTAGTTTCAAAAAGAGGTAACAGGGTTATCTTCAGTTGAAAGACATTAGGAAGATTGTGGTCAGTTGAATGACAGAGTGGGTTATCCTCACTTGAAAGACACTGGGAAGATTTTGCTCAGTTAAAAAACGCTGATGGGTTACCCCAATTGACAGACACTGGGAAATTTTTATTATGTACGTACAGAATTTGTACTTGCAAGTACTTGCTTAATTGGGAATTAAAGCTCATCCTAAAAATGGCCAAACTGGGGTTCTTTTGACATTCCAAAATTAATTTATTTTTCATATGCAGCTAGAAAAACCCAACTTGATAAAACATCTTTTCAAAATTCTGAACTTAAAGAAACAAAAGCCCTTCTGGGAGAACTTGCATTTCTCTACCTGTGTCTTAGAGATGTAAATGTTCTACCTGATCTTCTTAGGCTTTTTTTTTTTTCTCCTGTGTTCTGAGAGCTTGGTGTCTGCTACCCAGGAGATACACATATGGTGTACATTTGGCAGCCAGTCAAATGACTGGAATTCTTTTTTTTTTTTTTTTTGCAGTATGCGGGCCTCTCACTGTTGTGGCCTCTCCCGTTGCAGAGCACAGGCTCCAGATGCGCAGGCTCAGTGGCCATGGTTCAAGGGCCTAGCCGCTCTGCAGCATGTGGGGTCTTCCCGCACCGGGGCACGAACCCGTGTCCCCTGCATCGGCAGGCGGACTCTCAACCACTGCTCCACCAGGGAAGCCCTAGACTGGAATTCTGAGCAATCTTTTTGTCTGGCTGTGTCAACTCTCAGGAAAATTTGTCATAAGGGGTCCCAGCCCATAAGGGGCATTTGTCATCTCAACCTTCATTGCAACCACCTGTACAACGAAGGACTTTACTCTCTTAGGCTGTTTGGGGGAGGAAATTTCTAGATCTTATGAAGGCTGCATCCTTTGCACTCTCTTGTGGGGATGCTTCTTGAATTTTATTGGTTTGAGTCACTATTAAGATACTATTCATCGGGCTTCCCTGGTGGTGCAGTGGTTGAGAGTCCGCCTGCCTATACAGGGAACACGGGTTCGTGCCCCAGTCCGGGAAGATCCCACATGCCGCGGAGTGGCTAGGCCCGTGAGCCATGGCCACTGAGCCTGCGCGTCCGGAGCCTGTGCTCTGCAACGGGAGACACCACAACAGTGAGAGGTCCGTGTACCGCAAAAAAAAAAAGATACTATTCATCAATGACCAGACAGTGAATCCTTAAAATTAGAGAAACTTGGTAAATTGGTAAATTTTTTAGAGAGCTCTCATTACAAACAGCTGTTTTATTTTTACCTATAAAAAAACAAATTAGAAAATGGTAGTATATATAAAACAGCTAACCTAAGAACTCCCTTAGTTTATTTATTTATCTTTTTTTTAGCATTTTTAGTTTTTTTCTTAACTTTTAAAAAATTTGAATATCTTATTTTCCCCCAGGTTTATCGTGATATAATTGACATATAACATTGTGTATGTTTTAGGTGTACAACATGATTTGATACATTTTTTTTTGTCATAAGTTGTGGATTTAATTCCATTAATTTAAATGTTACCTTTTGTTGTAAATTCACCACATATTCCATTAAGAATAGAGACCATATTATCTAGTTCAACAATGCTATATATAAAATAGATACCCAACAAGGACCTACTGTATAGCACAGGGAACTATACTCAGTATTTTGTTTTTTTATCTCTTCTTGATTTTGTGGACTTAACATAGGTGTTGAATTTATCTTGACACTGACTTTATCCAATTTTTTTTTTACTTTTATTTATTTTTTTATGCAGCAGGTCCTTATTAGTCATCAGTTTTATACACATCAGTGGACACATGTCAACCCCAATCGCCCAATTCATCACACCACCACCACCCCCCTCCGCTTTCCCCCCTTGGTGACCATAAGTTTGTTCTCTACATCTGTGTCTCAATTTCTGCCCTGCAAACCGGTTCATCTGTACCATTTTTCTAGGTTCCACATATATGTGTTAGCATACAGTATTTGTTTTTCTCTTTCTGACTTACTTCACTCTGTATAACAGTCTCTAGATCCATCCACGTCCCTAAAAATGACCCAATTTCAGAACTCCCTTAGTTTAAAAGAGACAAAAATAAACCAGTTTGGGAAGCCTTATTTGTAGTCTCTAGGGTTACCCTCAATGGGCCTTACAGATGCTAATAAAAACATTAGGTTAAGTAATGTTAATTGGGTTGATTAATAGGGAAAAAAAGCTGAGGGGAAAGTTAAGAGACTTCTTCTTCCCAAGAAGGTGGAAATTTTAACGGGACTTGTCTCAACAGGATAAAAATCTTTAGATGGTTATTAAGAAATTGGATAAATAAAATGGATGGTAATGAGATTAAAACAAAGGTTTTTATACAACACCATGTAAGGTTGGATGGGCCAAGGGGACATCTTATTGGTCCCCAACATTAAGGGCCCCGAAGAAGTCCATTCTATCATTCTATTTACCCCAGTTTAATACACACACACACACACACACACACATATATTTAAAAGGCTGGAAGAAAATTACACTGAGATACCTGATCAACAGTTGAACAATTGTTTGGGGTAACAAGTAGACCAATTAATCAAGTTAAAGATTTTTTAAAAAGACCTGTGTCCCTGGGCTCAACCCCTCCCTGGAGACCCCAGAGCCTTTATACGAAAATAGATAAAATAGCCAGAGAATAAAAAGGAAAGTTTCTAGGACTCCTTGTAAGACCACAGCTTGTTGATGGGGTCCTAATGGAGGCTAAAGTTAAAGGTGTAAGAGTTGATTGAATTGAGATGACAGTTTATAAAAGTAGGTATATTTAAGTGGGCTTAATATAAGATGTTTATATCTCTTTTGCCTCACTATATTGTGCGTAGACATTATGTCTCACTGGGGAATGCTTCCCCTGCCTGGTATTATAAGACAGGGGATGTAAATCTGCCCCTCAGAAAATGTTAATTTAAATATACAAAAAAAAAAAAACCCAGTAAGGTTACCTGAACCCACACAATATAATGTAAAACTAGGGGCTAACATTCAGAAGCTAATAATAATCAAATTAAAGAAAATGTAGTTGGGCAAATCAGTCTTTTAAAATCATTTAGGCAGCAGAGCAGTTCTTTGGGGAATTAAAAGCAACTTTGTCTTGCTAATCTCTACAAATCAGAAATGTAATACAGCCTACAATGACCTGAGACTGAGCCTATAGCTAGGTCAATCAGGTAGACTCTGAAACAAAAAGGGAAAAAGAGGGCTTTTTATACTCGAACTGCTGGGAAGGCTCCTTCACCCAAAGTCTAATTCACAGCCTCCTTAAGGATTTATCAAGGACAAATACAAATCTTAACAGTCGCTCATCTTTCAAACAGAAGAGTAACTTTTTCATTTTTGTTTTGTTTTTTCCGCTCTGCAGCGTAGGGTATCTAGCAGGATGTCTAGTTCGTGAACTGAGTGAAAAACAACCAGAGCTGCAGATAAGTGAACGAGATATGCTCTGTGTTCAGATCGCTGGTCTTTGTCATGATCTCGGTAAGCAGTTCAAAGAGCCAGAGTTCTAATGCAAAACCACATGGTACCTCTCTTTGAAATTAAAAAATCCAACTAACTAGGAGAATATGAAAGTTGTGTTTTAATTCTTAAGTTAACATTAATGTAAATGTGCCATTGCTTCTTTCTAGAATGGTTCATAAGCCCAAAGCATTGCTATTTTTTTTTGTAGTCTTTCAGTGAATTTCCCATGTTAAACATCTTTGTTGCAGGTTATATGAAGGGACTTTCTGATAGTGATTTTTTTCTGACTACTGTGTGTTGGATGATGTGAATTTGATTTTTCCTTTATCTTGGTTGAAATTAAATTGCCATTTTCCTTTAGATAATTTGTCAAATCTATTCTTCTCACACCTAGAATACATAATCTGCTCTAACAGATTAACAACAGATTTAGAGAACTCCTTTTCTTCCCTGACCCATGTGAGGTCTTGGGCCACTTAAATCCAAGTAGAAGAACATCATCCTCTTCTATGGTCAAAGAAAGAGAAAAAGGACTGTTCTCTTTTATCACAGGAGTTTTTTCCCCTATCCTTGTAATTTTTTTTTTTTTTTTTTTTTTTTTGCTGTATGCGGGCCTCACACTGTTGTGGCCTCTCCCATTGCGGAGCACAGGCTCCGGACGCACAGGCTCAGCAGCCATGGCTCACGGGCCTAGCCGTTCCGCAGCATGTGGGATCCTCCCGGACCGGGGAACGAACCCGTGTCCCCTGCATTGGCAGGCAGACTCTCAACCACTGCGCCACCAGGGAAGCCCTATCCTTGTAATTTATTCCTACCTGTTGGAGGATCCTAAGAGTTTGCATGTGCCCTCAGTGCAGGGAAAGGGAGGTTTCAGTAGCCAGATACTTAAAGGCATAGGGCACGCTCTTCAGCATGTCCCCTTGGAGATTTCAGTAGGACCAGTATCAGCCCTAGATCATAAATTTAACAAATTTTTGGTATTTTGAGAGGGAATCATTGGAAACTTTTGCCAATTTCTAGGAGTCTGAGCTCTATAGTAACAAGCCTTTGTGTACAGACTGCAACATGCAAAAAGGCCCAGGGCTGGTCCAGGTAGGCTCCCTCTCCCATCTATCAGGACCCCCTGCAGATACAAAAAAAACCCCAAAAACCCCAAAATCCTGGATGCTCAAGCCCCTTATATAAAATTTGCATATAACCCACACACATCCTCCCATGTACTTTAAATCAATTCTAAATTACTTATAATACCAATACAATGTAAACTATATGTAAATAGTTACCAGCACGCCTGGCAAATTCAAGTTTTGCTTTTTGGAACTTTCTGGAATTTTTTTTTCTGAATATTTTTTTGTCCGAGGTTGATTGAATCTGCGGATGCAGAGGGCCAACTGTAACTCCTTCAGAAATTCTGATAATTCCAGAGTTGTGCCTCAGCAAAGTTTCATATTACTAGATGTTGTGGAATGTTAAGATCACTTATGAATAAGATAAAGTAGTGATCTCCACTTTTTTTTTTTTTTTTTTTGCGGTACGTGGGCCTCTCACTGTGGTGGCCTCTCCCGTTGCGGAGCACAGGCTCCGGACACGCAGGCCCAGCGGCCATGGCCCGCTGGCCCAGCCGCTCCCCGGCATGTGGGATACCCCCAGACCGGGGCACGAACCCGCGTCCCCCGCATCGGCAGGCGGACTCCCAATCACTGCGCCACCAGGGAAGCCCAGTGATCTCCACTTTTGATTGCCCATATCATCAGTAAAAACCCAAGATAAACCCTGATATGTGTATATTTATTATAAAATAAATTACATACATTATAAAATTTACATAAAAATAGATGATTTTAAAGGTTGAGAGTAATAAAGTTCTAATATTTTCTTCCTAACCCTAGTGGATTGTGTTAAAACTGCTGTTCTAACACTACCAATATATAATCTGAAGAAGCCAAAAGTTTTTGTCATTAACATTCCTTTAGTTACACAAAACTGTCCTTTCATTAGATTTATGTAAACTCTGGTGACTCAGAGACCCCTCAGTGGAGAGCTTACTTTCCTGTATTGTTCTGCTTCCTGTTCTCTTGTTTTAGAAAATAGGAAGGAAGGATTTGTTCCTTTTTGTGATGTATTTATAGATTATTAATTTCTATTGATATTCAAGTTTAACTAAAAAGATTTACATTTTACCAATTTACAAACATTTTTCTTGTTCTAAGGCTGCTTTTGTTTTTAAGGTCATGGGCCATTTTCTCATTTGTTCGATGGAAGATTTATTCCACTTGCTCGCCCAGATGTGAAATGGACGGTATGTATTCATATATTTAATAGTCAGTAAAATAAAGACTAAGCAATGACTGCTGTGTTAAAGTATACTTCCTTTTACAGTTTTTCAGAGTGTTTATATATAATGCTTTCATTTGATCCTCACAGTAATCTCTAAGGAGGAAATCATTATCTCCATTTTTGTAAGTATAAAGGAACTTGAAATTCATAGAGGTGTATTGATGCACCAAAAATCACAAAGTTGTTAAATGATAAAGCCAGCACTAGAAAACTAGGTTTCCTAGCTGCTAATTTAATGCTCTTTCTACTCTATCACACTAGTATAAAATAAAAAATAAAAGGCTGACTCTGGCTTTGACTCATTTTGTATGACCATGAAGTAACTAATACCAGCTAAGTTCATTTTATACTTACAGATTTGCAGGTGACCCGTATTTTTGGAATCAATTTTTGAGAAGTAAAGTTAGGTCAACTCCTATTTTTGGCTGCACTATGTTTGGAGTAGAAAAAGGTATTAATACATATTGAACACTTCTTACATGTCAACCACTATTTTTTCTCTCTCTCTTTAAAGGTAATTCGTATACAATATGTTGTACAGATCTTAAGTGTACAGTTCAGTGAGTTTTGACAAATGTATACATCCATGTAGCCACTACCCAAGTTGAGATATAGAATATTTTCATCTTCCTGGAAAATTCCTTTGTGACCCTTTTCAGTGAGTTCCTACATCTCCCTCCCACTATCACCTTCTGATTTTTATAAACAGACTAGTTTTGCCTGTCTTAGAATTGATAAGAGTAGAATCCTGGACTTTCCTAGTGGCGCAGTGGTTAAGAACCCGCCTGCCGTGCTAGGGGACAGGGGTTCAATCCCTGGTCTGGGAAGATCCCACATGCCACGTTGCAACTAAGCCCGTGCGCCACAACTACCAAGCCTGCGCTCTAGAGCCTGTGAGCCACAACTACTGAGCCTGTGTGCTGCCACTACTGAAGCCCGCATGCCTAGAGCCCGTGCTCTGATACAAGAGAAGCCACTGCAATGAGAAGCCCACGCACCGCAACGAAGACCCAACACAGCCAAATAAATAAATTAATTAATTAATTTAAAAAAAAAAGGAGTAGAATCCTATAATAGGTACTCTTTTGTGCCTTGCTCTTATTCACTCAACACAATGATTTTGAGATTCGTTGGTGTGTCATGCATCAGTTGTCGGTCCCTGCTCATTGCTGAGGTAGTATTCCATTGTATGAATAAGTTATGATTTTTTATTTTTTCTCCTTTTGTAGAATTTGGGTTGTTTTCAGTTTTTTGGCTGTTACGAATAAGGATGCTATGCATGTTACTGTACACGACTTTTATGGAAAATGTTTTCATTTGTCTTAGGTTCATCTAGGAGTAGAATTGCTGGGTCATCAAGTAGATGGATACTTAACTTCATAAGCAACTACCAGACGTTTCCCATTTTACACTCTGCCAGCAATATGAGAGTGCCTGTTGTTCCATAGCCTCCCCAACATTTAGTTTTTTAAGTTATTCTTTCTAATGAGTGTGAAATGGTCTCTTATAGGATTTTTTTTTTTTTGACATCCTCTGTGGTATGTTGAGTACCATTTCCTGTACTTTGTCATTGATCAATCATCTTTTGTGAAGAGTTTTTCCATTTACCCATTTAAAAAATTTGAATGTTTGCCTTTTAGTTATCAATTTGAGTAATTATATATATAGTCAGATACATGTATTGTGAATATAGTCCCTGTCCCCACCCCAGTCTCTGACTTACCAATTCATTTCTTTAATGAAGGTGGCTTTTGAGAAACAAAAATTTTAAATTTTGATGAAGTATTTCTGGTTCTTCAACCTAATAAGATGGATAGTTTCTCTCCAGTTCTGCAGCCTTAGGGCCTCCCTCAGGCTAAAAGCCATAAAAGAACTGGAATAGTGCCCACTGCCTTTCTCTTCCAAGTGTTTATTTCCCTCTAACATCTGCCTGCTTTTGGTCGTAATCCAATACCTTCAGGAAGTTGTCCAGAGTTAGTTTTTTTCTCCAACAAGGTCGATTTACATAGGATCTACTCAGCCATTCCCAAGTCTTTTTCTTTAAATATTTTGCCTTTAACGTGTAAGTCCTTACCTCATGGGAATTTATTTCTCTGCATATGTGTGGTAGAAATCTGATTTCTTTTTTAATATGGATAATTGTTTATTGAATTGCCCCAGTGATATGCAGTCAAACGCTCTACCACTGTCCCCACTGATTCTGATACCAACCCCAACATTTTTTTAACATTCCGTAATGATGAATCTTTCTGGATTCTGTTCCATTCCACACTTTTCATAATTGTTACTTCTTTATAATAAGTCTTGATAGCTGGTAGGACAGCTGTTTCTTTTATTAGGTATCTTTGGCCTTTTGCTCTTCTATTATAAATGTTGTAATTTTCTACATAAAAGTTTTATATATCTTTTATTTACTTCTAAGTTGCTTATAATTTTAGTTATTATTGTCTGTGCTGTCTTTGTGGAACTTGAATTTTTCTGTATGTATAAGTTTTTTTCTGAACCATTTGAAAGTATGTTGTAGGCATGCCCCTTTATTCCTAAAGCTTCAGTGGGTATTTTCTAAAAACAAGAACATTCTCTTACGTAACCTCAGTACATTTATTAAAATCAGGAAATTATTATTGATACAGTACTATTATCTAATTTACAGACTTTCTATCAAATTTCAACAACTGTCCATATAGAAAAGGAGAAAGAAAACCATTTTTGGTCCTGATCTATCATACATTACCCTTAGTTGCCATTTCTCTTTAGTTTCTTTTGATCTGCAACAATTCTTCCGTCTTTATCTCTCATGACCTTGTCATTTTTTGAAGTATACAGGTAGATTATTTTGTGGATTGCCCCTTACTTTGTGTTTCGGTTTTCGGTTTCCTCACACTGTCAGACTATCTGTTTTTGGCAGAATGCCATGTGTGACCTTCTTAGTGTATCCCATCAGAGGCACATAAGGTCTTTTTAAGCCATTACTGGTAATATTAACTTCAATCACCTGATTAAGGCAATGGCTGCCAAATTTCATAAACTTACTGTTTTTCCTCTATGTAATTAATATATATCTTGATTCAGTTAAAAAATAGATATAGGACCATTCTGGGTTTTGTTTTCATGTTTCTTGAGTTTGTTTTTGCTAAGACCTGTGATAGAGCAGATGTCTCCCTCCTGGGGGCCATTTGATCTTTATAACGATTATAAATGAGCAAGCAGAGACAGATGAGTAAAATGAGTCTAATTTGAGATTCCAGTCCAGATCTTGACTTCAGGGCTCTGAGACATTTTTGTTTTTACTGGCAAGTTTGGAATTACCCCGTTTTTTTTTTTTTTTAATTAAATTTATATTTTATTTATTTTTGGGTGTGTTGGGTCTTTGTTTCTGTGCGAGGGCTTTCTCTAGTTGCAGCGAGCGGGGGCTACTCTTCATCGCGGTGCGTGGGCCTCTCACTGTCGTGGCCTCTCTTGTTGCGGAGCACAGGCTCCAGACGCGCAGGCTCAGAAGATGTGGCTCACGGGCCTAGTTGCTCCACGGCATGTGGGATCTTCCCAGATCAGGGCTCGAACCTGTGTCCCCTGCATTGGCAGGCAGATTCTCAACCACTGTGCCACCAGGGAAGCCCTGGAATTACCCCCTTTTTATCAGTAGATGGAAATGCTAACAGAACTTGTATCTTCACAAATTCCAAAGCTGATGAAACAATACAACTAAATTTTATAGTGATATTCATTAAAATGGTATTCTATTGGGAATTCCCTGGCGGTCCTGTGGTTAGGACTCAGCTCTTTCACTGCTGGGGCCCGGGTTCAATCCCTGGTCCAGGAACTAAGATTCTGCAAGTGGTACATCTCAGGAAAAAAAAAAAAACGTATTCTATCTTTATGATCTGGTAATATTCAGTTGTACTGTACAATACTTATGTGTTATAAATGATTATATCTCATTAAACATATTTATGTAATAATGATGAACCTAGTTTGTAAAGGTTTATAGACTGGTAAAATATAGAGGTTTTTTTTTCCAGTTCCATCTGGTATTTATTTATTTATTTGGCTGCATTGGGTCTTCATTGCAACATGTGGGATCTTTCATTGCAGCACATGGGCTCCTCATTGCAGCTCGCGGGCTCTCCAGTTGTGCACGCAGGCTCTAGAGCTCGCGGGCTTAGTTGCCCCACAGCATGTGGGATCTTAGTTCCCTGACCACGGATAGAACCTGCATCCCCTGCATTGGAAGGAGGATTCGTAACCACTGGACTACCAGGGGAGTCCCAATATAGACAAATTTGACAGATTTTTTAAAATATCTGTAAGACTGTAGTTGAAAACTTGATAATTAACATGCATTAGAACCTTATCTCTGAATTACCTGGAGCCAAGAGTAATTTAAATTATCAGCGGTCTCTGATGGACTAGAGTCTACAACAGCCCATACTGTGCTAACTTTTCCCAGCATGAACAGGGCTCAGTTATGATGTTTGAGCACCTAGTTAATTCTAACGGACTCAGAGATGTCATGGAACACTATGGTCTCATCCCTGAAGAAGACATTTGGTTTATCAAGGAACAAATTACAGGACCACCTGAATCACCCATCAAAGATTCTTCAAAGGTAAGTTTGTGTACAACTTAATTTGAACTGACTGGTTCCTTTCATCTAGTCTCTCTGCTTGATTCCTTCAGATCTATTTGAAGAGGTGACATTTGGCTATTTTAGAGAGACTAAATGATAAAATATGTGATACATTTCTACTGTTTAATACAAAAAATAAAAGACTTATATAGTTCTTCCAGCTCTTAACTGAGTTCTTCAGAAGTTATTCCCCAAATTAAAATAAATATATAAATATTTTTAATGAATATGTATGCAGTATTTTATATAGAAGCCTAGAGTAACTTAGTTTGGAAAATGTAAAAGTATGTCTTGTTTATTCATTAAAATTAGCATATTTGAAATATTTAGATATGTGAAGACCTAGAAAAAAGTTGAATTAGTTCAGAGGGAAATATTTTTTGTTTCCTTTTTGATCTTTTTTATTTTACTTAGAAAAAAGAATTTCCCTTTGTGGTTTTTTTTTTTTTTTTTTGCGGTACGCGGGCCTCTCACTGTTGTGGCCTCTCCCGTTGCGGAGCACAGGCTCCCGACGCGCAGGCTCAGCGGCCATGGCTCACGGGCCCAGCCGCTCCGTGGCATGCGGGATCTTCCCGGACCGGGGCACGAACCCATGTCCCCTGCATCGGCAGGCGGACTCTCAACCACTGTGCCACCAGGGAAGCCCCCCTTTGTGGTTTTTTAAGTTTTTTTCCTTAAAATATACAAAGCTACTTGTAATGCATAAGAAAGAGGTGGATTTTATAGCAAATATCCTATTTCCAAAAAACAGAGCTCCTGGGAATTCCCTGGCAGTCCAATGGTTAGGACTGTGATGCTTTCACTGCTGAGGGCCCGGGTTCTGTCCCTAGTTGGGGAACTAGGATCCCACGGGCCAAACTGCGCCTCCAAAAAAAAACCAAACAAACAAAATACAGAGTTCCAAAAATTCTTTGAATGGTGCATATCATTTACACTAGATGTGTGGCTACTTTGAAAGACAATACTATTTTCATGCCTGAACTTAAGCATTAGAATATAAGGAACATTCTTACTAGTTCATAATTAGATCTTATATTTTAAAAAAATTTTTAAACAAAGAAAACAAGAAAGCTTATTGGGGCTTCCCTGGTGGCGCAGTGGTTGAGTGTCCGCCTGCTGATGCAGGGGACACGGGTTCGTGCCCCGGTCCAGTAGGATCCCGCATGCCGCAGAGTGGCTGGGCCCGTGAGCCATGGCCGCTGAGCCTGCGTGTCTGGAGCCTGTGCTCGGCAACGGGAGAGGCCCGCGTAAAAAATAAAATAAAAAAGAAAGCTTGTTGGTTATGGGAAGTGTAATAGAGTTAGGATCCTTCCGAAGGCACAAGGTTTAGTATTAACAGGGTATCACACTTTAGCATTTCTTTTCCCTTTTCTACTAATTTAGGAATTAAATGGAAGAAGAAATTAGTAGAACCTTCTCACTTACCTAACCTTCCCGTTCAAATATCTGTTTATAATTTTCAGATTAATACAGTTGCTTTGCTTTGCTTACAAATAGATTTGGCTCCTATCCTAAAACTTTCAGTGGGTTTTCTTGTCTTCCAGTGGCTGTATAAAGGGCGTCCTAAAGAAAAAAGCTTCCTTTATGAGATAGTGGCCAATAAAAGAAATGGCATTGATGTGGACAAATGGGATTATTTTGCCAGGTATGCACTGAACACTTCAGAAAAGTTGTTTAAAATCCTTATATACTTTAAATATATACAATTTTTATTTAAATAAACAAAATAAAATTCTTGTATAAATTTAGTGTTGATATTTAAGGTACCGTTTCCTTTGTTGAAATATTTCATTTCTCTGCTTTGGAATCTTTCTAGGGACTGCCATCATCTTGGAATCCAAAATAATTTTGATTACAAGCGCTTTATTAAGTTTGCCCGTGTCTGTGAGGTAGATGATAGGAAGCACATTTGTACTAGAGAAAAGGTAAGCTATGTCAGAGAACAATGAGGAAGGTATAGTTCCTAGTGTGAAATCTAGAAATAACCTTTAACTAATTTGGAAAAATCACTACCTGGTAAATTGTCAATCTCTTTACTTCGTGCTTAGCATTTGGAAGTATCTTAAGGCTCTTTTCACTTTTACTGCATTGTTAAATAATAATAAAATTATGATAGACATTTATTGAATGTTGTTTTAGGCACTGTTATAAGTGCTTTAGAGGGATTAACTCAATCCTCCTGCACCGTATGGAATAGATACTGTTATTATCCCATTTAACAGATGAGCAAATTGAAGCACAGAGAAGGCATACAATTAATGGCAGAATTGGAATTTCAATCCAGGAAGTTTGGCTTGAGTATTATCCTTAATCACTATATTACGTGTTTCATGGTAGTTAAAATCCTAAAATCAATAGGTCCCCTGCTAGGTTAGAATCATGTAACTAAAGAATATTACAGTATTATACTATAGAAGGTCTTTCTTTTGAGAATGAAGACTATAAGAATAATAATACCTAATTTCTAGAGGTATTGGGAAATTTAAAGACTATATTTAAGATGCCTAAAACAGAATGTGTCACTGAGTTAAAACACTCAATAGGGCTTCCCTGGTGGCACAGTGGTTGAGAGTCCGCCTGCCAATGCAGGGGACATGGGTTCGTGCCCCGGTCCAGGAAGATCCCACATGCCGTGGAGTGGCTGGGCTCGTGAGCCGTGGCCGCTGAGCCTGCGCGTCCGGAGCCTGTGCTCTGCAACGGGAGACGCCACAGCAGTGAGAGGCCCGCGTACCGCAAAAAAAAAAAAAAAAAATCACTCAATAGATTTTGGTTTACTAAGAACAAAAGTTGCAAATTAGTAGTTTTATGAATCTGCCTTGCTCTTTCTTAGTGGGCTCAGGGGTTTTAATGAAGTAGCCCCTGTGCCTAGTCTTCTTTTATGCCACCATCTCTTTTCCTTGACTTATATACTTGTCTACTAACAAGGGAACCTAATCTGATCCTACATTGTTCCACATTCTTCTGCAGGAGGTTGGAAACCTGTATGACATGTTCCACACACGCAACTCTTTGCATCGCAGAGCTTATCAACACAAAGTTGGCAACATCATTGATACAATGTAAGAAATTCGATTGTTATTTCCCTATAAAATTTTGCATGATGCTTTGCTAGAGTATCATACTTGGGTCAAGTTGAGATTTCTAGGTAAATTCAAGTGAATTTTAAGTGAACAAACCTAAAATGGTTCCCTTAAACAAATAAAAACTAGCAGAAAGTGAACTTCGTTAGAGGTGAGGAGGAAAGTGGGTAAAGAGGATAGATTCAAGCAGAAGATGGGGTTTAGGCTAGGCAGGAAGGAGGCCACGCTGGGATGGCTTAGACCTCCACACAGGTAGTCGCTTAGGTACCAGATATTAGTCATGGAGGTGAGAGGTGGGATGTGGATAATTGATATTCTGAAATTAATGACAAAAATGAATTTTAAAGATTAAGATTAATGTCTCTCCTTACCCTGTCAATTATCAAAATTAGTAGCAAATAGTAAAACCTACAGAAATTTCAACTCTTCTCCCTGATCCAGTCAGAACCAAAGCAGAAAAGTACAGCCAGGTCTCTCTGTGACTCAAAGACCCCATGAGGAATTACCAAAAGTTGGGTGTGAGTCAAGTTAATTCCATGTCTCTAAAATAGTTTTAAGTTGATTTATTTTAAGCCTTTCATGTTCATGTTTAACATTTGTGTTGAGAAAATTTACCTTCTTTTCTACTTTTTTCCTCATCTTTTCTCATGAGCACACTAGTTAGAATTCTTTCTCCTATTTGTATGGTTGTCAATTTGGTAAGAGATTTTGTTGTTTTGTTTGTTTTTAATGTGGAGAATCAGAGAGATGTAGGTACAAAGCCTGGTACCACTTCTTCCTAACTTCCTAACTTGATTAAATGAAAATTCCTTAATTTCTACATCTGTAAAATTGAGGCTGATTACATCTATCTTATAGTTGGAAAGATTAAATAAGATGATGTATTTAAAGCTCTGTTATAATGCCTGGAACACAGTAAATGTAGTTCACAAATCACCATGGATTTATTTAGCATGATTGAGAAGCAGTTGTCTTTTTTTTTTTTTTGCTTTTTTACAAATTATAATTATAAGTGTACAGTATAGTGATTCACAACTTTTAAAGGTTGTATTCCATTTATAGCTATTATAAAATATTAGCTGTATTCCTCATTGTACAGTATATCCTTGTAGCTTATTTTATACCTAATAGTTTATACCTCTTAATCCCCTCCCCCTATATTACCCCTCCCCACTTCCCTCTCCCCACTGGTAACCACTAGTTTGTTCTCTATATCTGTAAGTCTGAGAAGCAGTTGTCTTTAGAACATTGTGTCTCAAGATTTTATTTCGCTAAAGTAGAAAGATTTCCTTAACTTTAAGCCAGGCATAAAACAAATATTCAAATTTTCTCATAAACATAAATGTTTATAAAATGATCTTTAGGATTACAGATGCCTTCCTCGAAGCAGACCCTTACATAGAGATAACAGGTTCTGAAGGAAAAAAGTATCACATTTCTACAGCAATTGATGACATGGAAGCCTTCACTAAGCTGACAGGTAAGAACTAGAAGGTAACATAGGTGGTCCATCTCAGATAAAGTATAAACTTTCCCTGGATTGCAGATGAGTTATTTTCCAAACATTCCAATGTATTTAGCTTCTAAAATGATTATGTACTATTGGATTTGAGTTTTATCTCTGCTTTGTACTAACAAGGTAACCTTAATAAAGTTATTTAACCTCTCTGAACCTTAGTTTCCTCATCTAAAATGGGAGTAATGATACCTAGCATATAGTTTTGTTGTGATGCTTCAATGAGGCATATAGCACCTGGAATAGTACTTGGCACATAAGTACTCAATTATTATTTAACTTATAATACAGCTGGACTAATACCATACTAGTATCAAAAAGCTGACTTGCCATTTTAACATGATTTTTGTTGCAAAACACAGGATGTGAGAAACAGTTCTCCGCACGTCAGCAGAAACAAACTCTGCGGCTTAGGGTGTGAAGGAAGAGAGGTGAGGGGTTGCAGCTGATTCTTTAATGTGGGAAAGTGTAGACTGAGAAATAAAGATCAGTAAAGCAAAAGAGGTAAACCAAAAAGCATGTACCAGTCAGAGTTCTTAGTTGCAGATCCTAAAACTGTCTCTGCTTAACTAAAAACAACATGACAGAATCAGTGGAAAGGCTGGAGGCTCTGAACCAAGCAAGAACAACAGAAACTGAGTGGCCTCAGACACAACCAAGATCAACTTCCTGTTCCATCTCTGCTAGATTTTATTTTATATACATATAATATAGAGAGTCCCCATTACACTTGTAAATTTTTAGTCATTTTCCAATCATAACTAAATCAAAGATTAGAAGTGAAATGGTGATTCCCTGTATCAAATGTCTGTGTACACTGACAACACTGTACATATGTACTTACAGTTTATAATGTGACAAGTGAGTTTGCTTTTTGCTTGTTAATTAATCTGGGTTGGATTGATGACAAAGTTACTTATAGGGGATAATGTATCTAAATTGTTTCTGTGTTTTGTTTTAATAACATCATAGCAGGTATACTAGTCTCCCATTGTTGTGTGGATAGGAATGGAAGAAGAGATTATAAGACAATGTGAGCAAGCTGTGGATATTTATTTATTTATTTATTTAAACATCTTTATTGGAGTATAATTGCTTTACAATGGTGTGTTAGTTTCTGCTGTATAACAAAGTGAATCAGTTATACATATACATGTCCCCATATCTCTTCCCTCTTGCAACTCCCTCCCTCCCACCCTCCCTATCCCACCCCTCTAGGTGGTCACAAAGCACCAAGCTGATCTCCCTGTGCTATGCGGCTGCTTCCCACTAGCTATCTATTTTACATTTGGTAGTGTATATATGTCCATGCCACTCTCTCACTTTGTCCCAGCTTACCCTTGTCTGCGTCTTTATTCCTGTCCTGCCCCTAGGTTCTTCAGAACCATTTTTTTTTTTAAGATTCCATATATATG